GCATTTTGATTTATTCTTCTATCACAAACCCATGTATATAATTCATCTTCTAAATCTGTATATTTAGCAGATTTACCCAGATAAAACTTAAGAATATGAGGTGCACATGCCAATAATTTTGCTTTATTATTATTCCATTCGCGTACTTATTTTGGTTGAATATTAAAACATTTGGCAGTTCCACATTTACTTCCTCTATTATTTTCCAAAAAATGCACTATCATTAATTTTCTCTTACATTTCATTGTCGTCTTTTCTTTTGTGGTAAACAATTATGTGCTTTTTGATTTTTTTTATTTCTAATAATAACTATTTTTACTTTAAAATAATTCGCATCACAAATAAAAGACAAATAAATGAAAGCGCGTTTATTATTTATAAGGATTTATTACACAAAATAGGAGAAGAAACAGATAAATGTGATTTTTATTAATTTTTTTTTCCCAAAAGAGTAATTTACCTTACTTATAAAATATAAATATGTCCAGGTATTATATATAGCAAATATCTTGGATACTTTATAAACCTTATACCTTCTTATGCACAGTATTCCTACTGTATCCCCCTGTATAATATACTTTGGGTATAGCCTTCAACTCTCTAAAATTTGTATCATACCCAGGGTATTATGGCCCCATTATACGATAATACTTTTATATTATATTCTACCATAGGTAAAATGCTGCCAAATTGAGTAACAATCAGGTACCCATAAATCATCTTATTTATTACTGATCAAATGTCGATTGATAATTTTTTGAATTATAGATTGGTGTCTGATTGATGCAAATTTATAGCGCAAATAGGATTTAGTTAGTCTATCAACCGGCATGTGAGATTGTAATCTGCCTTTGGTAATTTTTTCAATACTTTATGCTTCGATTAATGCTTAATTGTTAAAAAAGTATGTATAAGTTATGTATACATTTCAATATATTGAATAAATATCAAGCAATCAGGTATTAACTGTTTAAATGTCTTTGTATATATAAGCTATTTCTAATTGAAACAAAATGAATTTATAAACATATATCAGAAAAGTGACTATTATTTGTAAATAATTGGTTTAACTATTATAATTGAAATGTTAGCAAAAATCAGCTTGTTATTATTATATCCTAAATTGTTTCATTTATATCAATCACTAAAACCAATTGGTATCAATTTATTTATTCATTTAAAAAATCAGCATTCAATACATTTTCAATAATTAAATCCTACAATAATTTCTAATTTATAAAATTGCAGCTAGTTACCAATATTATGATCCATTAAAGTCACATATAAGCAAATATTAATTTATGCAATAAATCATAAACTCTAATAATACAAACTTTTTTATAAATCATACATAATAGAAATCAAATTAAAACAGTATATTCATCCTCGTCACAAATTATTCCATATATACAAATCTGATAATGTCTATTTTTCCTCTTGATGATTAAATGATATTGCTGATCTTTGATGGCAAGCCCTTTTAACGACTTCTTTTATTGGTCCATTATATCCGATAAGTGCCCATTTTAGAGCATTGAATGGCGTTTTCTCTAAAGCATACTGATTACTATAAGAACGCTTTCTTTTTTTTAGAACTTTTAAGGTTTCGTCAAATAGTTTATCAATATATTCTCTTAGAAACATTTGTATCTAAAAGACAGCATTATAATAAGCTGATTAATATTAAATAAATTTTTTTTAAAAGTTTACTTACTGTTAATGACTGCTACTTGAAGTTTTTTGTTATGAGTTTTCTCTTGTCAGTTAAATATTCTGTGTCTGTTTCGCTATTGTCGGGAGAATGATATCTGTTATCGACTTTTAAAGAATGCAACTCTTAATTCAGTCAGGGAGATTACCAAAATTATTATGATGATCATTACTATTTATATCAATAAAATTGCAGATCGGAATAT